CTCTGGTTTAGCTAATATCAGCGGGGTAGTCAGGTACTCCTTCAGCTGCGTGAACACCTCTTCACACTTGTCGTCCCAGTCAAAATGTTTATTACTCCGAAGTAATTGATAAAAGGGGAGACATTTATCTGTTGAACGCGAGATAAATCTGTTTAGGAGATCTAATATTTCCGAAATTTTTGGGCTTCACACTTGTCGTCCCAGTCGTTGTACTTTGCACGTATTTTTGGGCGATAGGAGATCTAATATTTCCGAAATTTGTTTTGGGTTTGCTTCTATTCCCCTTTGGGTAACAACGTAACCTAGGAATTCTCCTGAGGTCACCCCGAATGTGCATTTGGCTGGATTTAATTTCATCATGTATTTCTCGAGGGTTTTGAAGTAATCCATGAGATGGCCGACGTGATCTTTGGCGACTGCGGATTTGACTAGCATATCGTCAATGTAAACTTCCATGGTACGGCTGAGCTGACTTGCAAATATTTTCTTGACCAATCGCTGGTACGTGGCTCCTGCGTTTTTTAGTCAAAAAAGCATGACTTTGTAATAATATGTTCCCCGATCGGTGATGAACGCCGTCTTCTCTCTATTGTCGGGGTGCATAAAAATCCGATTGTATCCAGAAAAAGCATCCATAAAGGACATGAGCTGATTTCTGGCTGTTGACTCGACCAGTCGGTCGATGTGAGGAAGTGGAAAGCAATATTTTGGGCAAACTTTATTGAGATCTATAAAATCAACACAGACTCTCCACTTTTCGTTCTTCTTTTTAACTACAACGGGGTTAGCTAGCCAATCGGAATAATGAACCTCGGTAATCGATCCAGCTCCGAGTAGTATTTCCACTTTATCGATTACTGCTTGTGCTTTCTTGGGACCGAGTTTCCTTCGTTTTTGTTTAATCGGCTTGAACATAGGGTCTACATTTAGTTTATGCGATATATTCTGGTGTCAATTCCCTTCATGTCCTTCATAGACCAGGCAAATAAGTGCACGTGGTCCCGTAAAAGTTTGACGAGCTCCATTTTTATATCTTCTGTGAGGTCGCCGCCAATGCTACGGTTCTTTCAGGATGTTGCTCGTCAATGCTTACCTGTATAACCTGCTCGGGCTTTGGTCTTTTGTGGAAAGGAAAACGTAGGTCTAAGTCCTCGTTTACCATGCATGTAGTCGCCGTTCTGATGTTTCTTTCGCTGAGGAGGCACATTCGTGCTGTTGATTGGTCGCCCTGCAGTGTGAACGTACCCGTAGGTGTCGGGAATTTGATGCATTGATGGTATGTCTAGATGACGGCCCTCATGGTGTGGATCCATGGAGTCCCGAGTATGACGTTATAGATAGTCGGGCAGTCGATGACTGCAAATTTTGCCTTTTTGGTTACGCCGCTGATGTAAGTGAGTAAATGTATCGAACTGATACTATAAGAGGTGTCGCCTGCAAATCCTGTTAGCGGCTTTGTCGTTGTTGTTATCTCGCTTTCGTTGATGTTCATCCTCGCCAGTGTATCCTTGAAGATAATATTGACAGTGCTCCCACTGTCAACCAAAACTTTGGGGACCGTGCTTTCGTGAATTTGTAAAGTTATGACCAGTGGGTCGACGTGTGGCGTGTGCAAACTGCGTAAATCCTCTGCTGTGAAATCTACTAGTGCTTTGTTCTTTGGGGTGATCGGATCGCGTTTTGCTTCTGCCGCTTTTTTCTTCGTGTTGCCTTATTTCTTTGAGCGAACATGGGTCGTCGAATATTCCTCCTAATAGGAATCGTCGAACGTTGCGTGTTCTCCAATGGGTGGCAGGATCATGGTGGTAGGGTTAACGTGCTCATCGAGAGCAGGCGTCTCCATATGTGTGGTGGTGTCATCGTTGTCGATTGGGAGACTCATTGCTTCGGCTCTGTAGTTGCTAGTTTTAAGAATTTTATTCTCATATTCCCCATAGACGGTGCCAAATGTTGAATCAGAAAATCACCACTAAGGATTTGATTAACAGCTGTGGGTTTTAGAGAATAAGATCTTCTTATTAATAGCTTTAAGACGAAGCAATTACAAGAGATGGCTTAACAAAGAGGTTATGCCGAAGTGAAAAGAAAGTATTTGCGAAATAAACTAGAAAATGTTGGAGTTCTTGGTTTTTGATTTGCTGCTCTCTAGATTGTATGAGTTGATTTCTTCGGCTTCGAAGTCTTCTTAATTATAGGGATAGGAGGTCGATTGCTCCGAACTCCTTTTCCTTTTCCCTTTGGTGAATATTTCCATATTTGCGATATAGAAATATCTCTTATTCTACGAAGAATATGGAAATTAACATTTGAGTTAATCCAATGTTTCCGGACTTTGAAAGTTATCTTTTAGGATTTTCTATATGTCCGAGCTAGGTTGGCGCAGTCTTTCTGATCTTAATGGGCTTAAGTTATTGATGAAAAACACCTTTTAGAAAATGTAATCATTTCCCCTCTAACATATATACATGATACGCATACTCGTTATTTAACAAGATATCAATATCGCATTTGTTTGTCTGCTAAAGCCCACAAATTACCAAAGCCCACGTAATAGCTGATAAGCTTCACTTAGATTTCTCCTATGCTATGTAAATTTTGAATTCCGTTTGTTTTGTACAGTATATATATTATTTCAAGCTCTCTTGTGACCCAAGCTGAATTGGCTCCACAATGATGGCTCTGTGACGGTTCGATTTGGTTAGTTGCTAAAAGCATCAGAATTGCAGAGTCGATGATTGAAGCTTTTAAAATAGGAGTTGATTCTTATGCTACATCATTTTTTTTTCTTTTTGTTAATATGCGACATCATTTAGAAACTCAGATCAATCTCTCTAATAATCATACTCTAATTAAGTTTCAACTTTTAATTAACCAGACCGAGAATGATATTCATCATTTTAAGAATCCGATTAATTGTGCTTTTATGTTGAAAAAGACATAAAACCATGTAGATATAATAAAAAAACTAGGATATTGGCCCGTACGCATGTGCGAGCATGAACAATTTTAAAAATGTAATTATTTATATACAATACTTAAATCTGTTTTAGAGATTTTAATTTTTTATAGTTTATGAAACTCAAGGTTAGTGTTTTGAATTATAAAACTTTTAATTAAATAGTAAAATATTATCTAATTTTATGTAAACATTTGTTATAATAAAAAGTTCATTTATATTTTGAGACAGATTTGAAAAATAATAATTAAATTTGGAAAACACAAAAATTATTTTTCCATGAACAGGTTTTGTAAAACTTGACCCACTATGTTAGAGGGTCAAATGAGTCAGACCCGTGGATAGTTGGTTACCTTCTTCGGATTTGCTGATTAGGCTGCAAATTTTATCTTCTCTATCTTTTTTCTTGGAACAAACATTTTTCATTTTCTTTATCTTCCTATAATCTTCTTCAATTTAAAGCATTATTTCTTCAAGGATTCTGTCATTGTTGATCTCGATCTACTCATATGTGCGATTTTTCTAATTATAATTTTGTTAAGTAGACTCTACAAATAATTGCAAGACCATCTTCACTTAAGCATCAAGTGCTTCAACCAACCATATTGCAAGACATGTTTCAGCGAAGGTTAGATATAAAACTCTGTTTACTGTCCTGATATCTTTGAAGCATACTGGTCCTCTCTGAACATTTAGTAACATTTTAAGGTAGAAAAACTCACCATATTCTTCTAAAACTTCTGGAAGACTGATATCGTAGGAAACATTATTTTTTCTATTGCGCAGACGAGGGAGCCACTTCTTAATTTTTTTTATGCCAAATCCATTTGTTTGGAAATTCAGTGTAGCGATAAAACCTTACTTCATTACACTCATGATTGGAGTCTATCCAACCTTCAAGTTTCATTTTAGCCATATTCCATTTAGGTAAATGGATTGGTAGAATTGCCATGCCCGCACTTTGAGTTAGGGCTTGATTTGTTTGATACTCATGTATATTGTGATGTTTTCTTATATAAGGACCCGAGTATTTAACTTTTTTATTACGTAGTTATTTGGCATGAACGTGATTTTATATGAATCTTTTTGGTTATTATTAAATGGACATTAAACTTTTTAAATAATGTAAAGAATTATAATTTTGGTTTTTCATTAGATGCACGTTGATGTTTTAGGATATCTTATGTTTGTTAATAAAAATAACGTAGAGGATTATTAAATCGAAATTTTATATTTATATTTGTTATTATTTTTAAACTAAACTAATTTTCAATTTTGAATGTTCTACAGAAGATCACAATAATATCTTATTTTGTTATTATAATTTTACCAACTGAACTATGTGAAAACATATGTGCACGTAAATGGAGCACCGCCTTTACAAAAAATATGAAATATTAGGTAAACGATTTGATCAATGTGATTTTGCTATTATAATTTTGCCTACTGTGAAGTATATGAAAACATATGTGTATGTATTCTATATGAATATTATAATATATATGTAGATATGTGTACATATGGAAAGTCACAGTGGTCCACGATAGAGCTATAGTAATTTTTATAGGTATATAATATAGTATTATCCATAGTATTATAATATATATATATATATATATATATGTGTATTAAAATCATCACGTTCAGCCCAAACTTTATCTACTATTACCCATATAGATGAATAATAATATGAGACAATTCGTAGTGCATCCGACGAATCATTCCAGATTTAGTTATTAGTACATTAAATATTATCATCTAATTATTATTTTTTATTTATGGAAATATCACAAAAATTGTTTTTGCCATGTCATCAACCACATGTGTTAGTAAATGCCATGTCACAATTACATCATCATTTTCATGTCACATTTAATTAGGGTACACAAATGATTTTAACCAATCAGATTAAAACAAATCAGCATTTTTCATTAAACTACATTCTCAATTAATAAGTAGAGGATTATTTTCTATTTACAAGTTTTTATTTATTTATATTCAAAAACAGTTGACATTTTGTAACCAAATTAAATGTTTAATTTTTTTATTTCAATGGGTTTATGCCAAGTATCACCTGGTCAGGATACTCTTTTGCATTCCCTTTAGGATTCTCTTCAAACCGCCGGAGACTAAACTGCTTCATCTCAACTTCTCCTCCTTCAGCCTCTCCCTCCGTCGCCAGCTCCGCCAATATCCTCCCCACCGCCGGCGCCATCTTAAACCCATGACCGGAAAATCCGCCGCCGACAACCACATCTCTCCCTAACTCCCCACCAAGAAAATCAATAACAAAATCCTCGTCCGGTGTCATCGAATACATACAAAGCTGAGTTGCTACAGGTCCTTCCGAATCAACCATCCCTCCAAATCTCTCCTTAATCCACTCTTTAAGCTCCTCTAGCTTCACTCCCGGTCCCCACGGCCTCTTGTCTGGATCGCAACGGTAACCACCGTGAACGGCCACTTTGATGAGTCCCGGATACTCTAGCGACGGAGTTCCGTACACGTACGGAGCTCCGTACGACGCAAAAGTCGGAAACTCTCCGTCGATCGCAAACTTATCCTCGTAGCCTTCTTTGATTCTCCAGTAACACACCGTCGTCTCAAGCGGCTCAACCGGAAAATCAATCCCGGCCACCGTTTTCACCAACTTACCTATCCATGCACCCGCGGTAACAATGCATTTTTTACCGTAGAATTTATCTCCTTTCACCGTGCTGACTATTACCCCTTCCCCGTTTTCACCGTCTTTCTTTATGTTTGCGACTTTGGTATTGTCTCTCAAAACGGCGCCATGTCGAAACGCTAGCGTTTGGAACATAGAGACGGCTTTGGTGGGTTTGATAACTCCACCAAGCTCCGTCGAGACTCCGATCCAGTTCTCCGGGATATTGATCTTCCCAGAGAAATGTTCGGAGACGGCCTGTGAGTCCATAACCTTGTGAGCTAAACCGTGTTTACGACAAGTGGCGACAACGGAGAGGAGACTCTGCTGGTCCGCAGGGCCCATGTCGAACTGTTGAGTTGGGAAATGGACTTTGTATCCGATCTCGGACTGGGCCTGAGCCCATAACTGAGTTGACTCCGTAACCATGGCGTAGTAGTAATCCTCCGGGTAAGTGGCACGTATGGTACGTGACTCACCGTGGGAAGAGCCACGGTGGTGGAGGAAGTCGAATTGCTCTAGGAGGAGAGTTTTCTGGCCTTTTTTCGCCAGCTGATACGCGGCAGAGCTTCCCATTACACCTCCTCCGACGACAATCACGTCGAAGCGGTCGTCGCTGGAATATTCCATGAGCAGGAGTGAAAAGAAAGAATCTAGTGAGAGAAAGCAAAGAAAGGGAGAGAGCTGATTGAGGTCAGAGAAGCGTAAATGGTTGTTGTTGTTGCTGCAGTTTAAAAGCCACTGTGAGAATATAAAAGCAGATTTGTGTTTTGACAAGTGGACGAAATTGAAATTATAATCACAACACTGCCCTTCGTTGAACATTCAAAAATAATCTAAACTAAAATAACGTTTTACATGAGGAAAAATAAAAAGAAATAAAAACCCCTAAATAACTATGTATATGAGTATATCTTACTAAGTAATAAATCGTCTGGTACATAAGCTTATTAATACTCGATTTTTCAATATTTTATATGGTTTGGTATCTGTTAAATATTCGTTCTAAATGAAACAATAATACGTTCACAAGAGTTGGGATGGATGAAGTTGCCACGGTCCATACATTTTCCATTTATAGTTTAGCTAATAAAATAGTAGTACTTGACCACAGTTCTAGACTTCTACCTACATCGACACTAATCATAGTTATGTTTTAACGTCATCACTATCTCTTGGTTTGAGAGTTTCGTAGCAAATTTTATATGTGCTTTCTCGGAAGTCAAGTCGCTTTTCTATAATAATCTCTTGGATATTTATTTTGGAATTGTGAGGTTGCATGTGAGTTTCAGAAAAATGCAAAAATAAAATTTGGTCCAAAAATTCACATTTAATATGTGTGCCCTATATGTTGGGTTGGGTTTAGTTGAAGGATCACGACCTTCAGTTTGCCTGAACGGATCGTGCAGATGTTATTCTGATATAATGCCTATGAAGTGCGTTTTTGCACATGGAATGTTTTTTTGAATCAGATTGCTCCAACCTACTAAAGATGTTAAAGGAACCAAACGCATCGATTAGCCTTTTCTATGAAGCTAGATGAAATTTCTTTTCAGAAGAATATGTTTAATAATTTTTTTTTTGTTCAAAGTTTAATAATTTTCTCTGTGTTTGATTTCACGTTGTAATAATGTATATATATGCTGATTGCTTTGATACTATCTTCTTTTATCTTTCCATTTAAGCAACTTGGTGTCGGAATAATTCTATTTTGAAGCGAATCTTGCTACGTAGTCCATCTATTTCAAATTATATAATTTGTTTTAGTTATTTTTACACATATATACTATTTAATTATTTATAATTAATTTATATATTTTTTATTTCTACGAATGCTATTTAAATGTTATTTTAACTAATAAATTAATATGAGTAAAATTAAGGGAAAAGGCAATAATTACACTTTAAAATGTAAAATATCTAATTTTTAGAACAAAAAGGATTCTAAACCATCTAATAATTGGAATACATGAATTTTTATATAAAAAACAAGTGTGTTCTTATAAAATAATTGTACTTTTTACATTTCTCACCCGCAAGTACAAATTTCTAAAACAGAAGGATAACATCAACCATTGTGAAATTGTGATTTTGAATTTTTGACTGGTTGTTGTAGTCTTAGGGAATATCAAAAATGGTGGAATGAATATAGTCTTAGTGCCGCTCACCATTCGTTTTTGTCGGAAAAAAGACAAATCCCTTATCCACTGGTTATTAGTATAATTGAATGGACACTCATCGAATATTTAAACATTCGTAAAAAATACTCGTACACTCCAAAATCTGCATTTAACTTACTAATCGGTTTCAACCATCATTTAGGATTAGCTAGATTTTTTGTGTGTTCACGATTAGTTTATAAAACTTTATTTTACATATTTTTAAAAATCATGTGTGAATTGCGCCTTGATGTGATTATTTAAATTATTTTCTATGAATGGAGACTTGATTTAGCTACTTTTTTATAATTAACTGTCGTAATTTTCCAAAATTTTGCATACCTTTTCTTCCGAATTCCAGCCTTAGGAGAAAGTGCAAAGTTCGTGAAGGCTTTCTTCTAGATTCTATGGTACATATGAAAGACCAGAAATGAAAAGGTTTTTAACAACAAAAATATTTTATCAGCAGAAACGCTGGAAATCGCTGGACAAGAGGCAGAAGCATAGAAAGTTGCACAGAAAGTCTCACATATAGGAGAAACTCCTATTTGCAGCCAGGTGACAAACCCATAACTGCCAATGAATGGGATAAGGCCAATGGATAGCAGACCCCCGCACCTGCGGTGCCAAGTAGATGCCTCCTGGATTAGGGATAGACACATAGCAGGCAGGGATTTTGTTCTTGATCTGGCAGATGACAGTCATTTATATGGTTGATGGCAATATAACAATCTTTCTCTCCGATACATGCCGAATCCGAAGCCTTGTTATGGGCTATGAAAGTGCTGATGCCTTTGCAGATCCTTGGGTTGGTGATTAAGACAGACTGCTTACAGTTGATGAACCTGACTGAAGAGGAAGATAAATGGTCAACGTTAGCGACAAAGCTTGAAGAACTGGAGTTTTTGCGTCCCAATTTTCATAATTCTCAATAGTTTTTATCCCCCGTTCTCTTAATATCTGGGCTGATCGTCTTGCTAAGCACGCTCAATCCTGTGGTCTGATATTCTTCCATGTAGACTCAATTTTTTAAGAATAGCTGGCTTCCGAGCCCAACATCTTTGGATTTTAAATTTAATACATGGTGCTTTTGCTGTAAAAAAAAAAAAAACAATCAGAGCTCTTTTTCCTCGAATAAAATATACTCAAACATCGATGGTTTTTATTAGGGCTGGGCAAATTATCCGTTATATTTGATTCGATCCGCTATTTGCTTCGATTCGATTCGAAAAATCCGGATATCCGTAGCTTTACAGAGCAAAGCAAATACTAAATTTTGATATCCGTTAAAAACAGAGCAAATCACAAATTTTAAAATTCTAAGAGCCGGATATCCGATCCGCTCTGATATACATATACATATGTGTATGTATATAAATAATTACATATAGAATGTATAGTTAATATAATTATATGTAATTTTTTGTGAATTTATATTTATTTTATCAGTTATTTTAATACGAAATTTTAATAAACTTTAATAAGAACAATTTAAAATTTAATATATGAGTTAATTTTTGACTTTTTAATTATTTTTATAAATAATTATATTTATTTTATAAATATTTTAATTATTTTATAATTAATCTAATATTTTTGAAACGGATCGGATATCCGGTCAAAAATCCGGATTTTAACGGATATCCGATTAGTAACGGAGCAAATACGGATCAAAAAATTGTTGATCCGTACGGGGCGGAGCGGATCACTGATGTCACTAAAATTCTGGATATCCGCTCTGTGCCCAGACCTAGTTTTTATTATATATTAGGATCTAACCTGCGCGTCCGCGCAGGTAATTTTTTTTTATAATTTAATTTTAAAATGTTAGTTTTATAAATATAATTTTAAAATCTAATTTTATTATTACATTGTAATCAAAATAGTTAATCTACAAATAATGCTAAGATGTTATAAAATATGATTAATTATCTTTTTGTTAATCGTATTCATGTTTTTTAGTCAAAAAATTATATCATAAAAGTGTGTTTGATTTTTAATAAAAAAATAATATATTAATATTTTTCTTCTTCTTTATCTTATTTATTATTATTCTTTTATTGTTGTTCTTCGTCTTTTTCTAAATATTTATTAATGTTCTTCTTCTTTTTCGCTTCTTCATCTTTTTTTTTTAAAGTTCTTCTTGTACGTTATTATTTTTCATTCTTCCTCTCTTCTTATTTTTAATGATTTTCTTTTCTGTTTCTTTTTTCTCTTTTTCTTTTCTATTTTTTTTTTATTCTTCCTCATTTTCCTTTTTCGTTCTTTATTCTGTAATTTTTTTGTGCTTATTCGTTTTGTTTGTTTTTTAATTTCAAATTTTCTATGTTTTTTTTTCTATTTTCTTCTCTTTTTTCATTTTTTTTCTTTTATAATCTTATTCTTTATTTTATTTTTCTTCAAATTTAGCAAAACAAAATTGAAATTGAAATTTTTTATATTAAATAATTAATATTATATAAATAATTGTTGATCTAACATATTTTAAGGTTTTTTGGTAGAATAAAATTTAGACTCTAAAATATTATTTTTTAATTTAGTTTTGTCATTTTGTATATATATTTTTATAAATTTCGGATTAAAAACAAAGAAAATAAGGTGATTCAAAAATTTTAAACAAAAATGTGTCTTTTAATAAAAAAATAACAAAATATTAGGTCTATAATGAAAAAGGTAACAAAAATTTAAGCCTTTGATAATTTAATGAGAATAATAAATTTAATAAATTTTTATATAACAAATAGAAGTCTAATGACATATTAAATAAATAACACATGAAATAAAGTTAGTGGGGGTTATTGGTTCTTGTATTTTGGTGGATTTATAAATCTTCTTTGGATTTGATAAATTTATTGATTTCAAAATCAGCAAAATAGAATAAAATCAAATCCACTCAAATACCAAGGTTAGATCTTGTATTTGGGTATTTGTATTATAGTCATGAAAATCATTCCAAATCCATTCAAATTCAATTAAAACTCAAATTCTTATAATATTTAGATTTTAAAATGATAAAACCAATAATACTGTATTTCATTATGAATTTTAAAATCATAGAACCAATAACACTGTATTTCAATATAGATTTTAAAATACAAGAACCAATAACACTGAATTTGATTTGAATTCTTAAATCCATTAAAATACAAGAATCAATAACACCTCCTTAGTCTTCTAAAGTGGATTCTCTTTTAATATAATAGATTAGCATTTCAACAAAATATCGACTACTGGCCAGTACAATACAATTGGTATACGACGTCTACCCCAAAAATAAATAGTGATATATCACATAATAATCTAATATTTAATTGTAGTTTTTGCGATAGAACTCATGTTTCATGTCTGAGTTTGTCGCCTTGTACTTGTCTACTATACTATCTATCACAAACGGATATAACAAAAATGGAGATCGAAAATCCAAAATATCTCGATCGTACATAAAACATTTATAATTTCTTTTTCCGATAGAAAATAAGTCATAATTAAGTGCCGTTTTTTAAAAATCGTTAGTTGAGCTTGTCTCCATCTGAATAGAAAAAGAGGAAAGGAATAATTGTTGTCGTCACACTTCAAGCTTCAAGTGGATTCTCGACGACATTTCAATAATACGCAAACAACTAATACAATCCTATCCTATCACAAAACGTGGAGTCTTCTTGCTTCAAGAAATGTGCGCACTAAATAGAAAATAAATAACTATAAATATAAATGATTGCTTTTAGGAATGATTGGATATTATTGTCTAATCCCAATTACTAGCTAATCTCGGGATTTAATACATTGTCACGTCATGTTTTTGTTTCTAAATCCAGCCCCGACCCAATGAATTTTAAAGTTTTTGGGCAAAAATTTTTTTGAGCTTTTTAATATTAAAAATTAAAATTTTGGGCTCTTCAATATCAAAAATCGAAATTTTAGACCCTTTAATATTAAAAATCTAAATTTTTTGAACTATTTTCTAATAGTTTTATCAATAAAAAATAATAATTTAGATTAAAAATATAATTTATTAGATCAATATTTTTAAAAATAAGCTTTTAAATATCTGAAATTTGATCTGGGCCTTTAGGCAGGCATACCTCTACCCACCCCCTTGGGCCGGACCTGTCTAAATCACGGTTAAGTGAACTTAGAAGTGAGAACGTTGGATTTTGCGAATTACCATGCATGGTCTAATGGTAAAGGTTTTTTCAAACACGACGACTACATGATTACCAAAACATATAATTAAAATATGATGATTTTATAAGTGAATAAAACACGCAAAACACAATGAGTAATGTTATATATATTTTTTTTTTGGGCAAATGAGTAATGTTATATTATATTCAAAACTTTCACTAGAAACCACTAATTGAATCTGTTACGTCTTGCCAAAACTGGATTAATACAATACCTAACATCCCTTTACCTCACCACTGACCGATTCCTAACAAACAAAGAAACTTTAAATCAACACCATACATATCTTCCCTCGGGGTTAGCCCCAGACCCAAGCCAACGTGGTCTGTATTATACGCTACTATAAGAGAATGACATGCACAATAATAAAGTCACATCATATTTAAATTAATATTAAATATTCTTGGACTATATCTATATAACAATAAAAGACAATCACCAATCTTCCTTTGTACACGCCATATAATTGAGCATCACATCATCTTTTGTTCATATTTGTGCCATCTTTTGTCAAACCTCTTGACAAAGACCATCATGCACTCTTCACCTATGTCACAATTTATTTGCTCTTACAAATTTTAGGTAGAATGCCAACCTTTCTTCTATAAGTGTTTGAGAACCATGGTTTTTTAAAAAAAAAATTATACTCTACATTTCAAATTAGATCAATGTTAGGTTTTCACAAATCAAAAAAATTTTGTAAGCATGATGATATAAAAAAGAAAGGCTGGCATTCTCCTAATTTTGCAATCTTTAATGTAAACTTACCTAAATTTTGCAAACTAGTTTTGTCTTTTTTTTTTTAGCGTTACAAAAAGCCCACTGGGCTTACTATTTTAATATCACTAAAGGCCCATATTGAGCCCAAAGTAAGGAATGACTCTTAGAAGACTTTAAAGTTGACCCACACCATAATTCTTTACGGTGATATTTCCCATCTTCGCTCTGAAATCGATAACCCTAGTTTTCACGACCGAGGAGAAGCCGTTTCGCTCTCCTCACACTGCCCGTAGTTTCTTCAGGTGATCCCGATTTCCGATTTCCGATTTCGCTTTATTTCGATATGATCTCTCTCTCTCTGATCAATTGAATCTGAAACTGTTCATACGTATTGTAAAATCTGAATTGCATCGAGAGATTGAATGATTTTTGTTTGTGTTCTTGGCTTTCAAAGTTTTTGAATTGAAGAATTAAGGAAGATCTTTAGGTTGATTTTTCGATAATCTTGTCGCTCTTTCCTAAAAGTTCAGATTAATTTCGCTGGAAAAAAAAGTAATTGAATTATGCGTAACTTGAATTTGAATTTGACCAGGTGATTGAACAAATGTCGCGTGTCTACGTTGGTAATTTGGATCCGCGAGTTACAGAGCGTGAACTCGAGGATGAGTTTCGTGTCTATGGAGTGATCAGGAGGTAAAACAATTTGATTCCTTTACCGTTTCTAGGGTTTGTTTGTAACTTAGCGTTTTTATATCTCATTGTTGAATTGTTTGGGTGTAGTGTTTGGGTTGCAAGAAGACCACCTGGTTACGCTTTTCTTGATTTTGAAGACTCGAGAGATGCTCGTGACGCCATCCGTGATCTAGATGGTATTCTTTCGTCTGTTGTGGTGCAAAAACTGATGTGACATAAGTGGGCTTGAGAGTGTTGATATGCATATGCTCTGTATTGTTATGGTAGGCAAGAATGGATGGAGAGTAGAGCAGTCTCATAACCGAGGTGGCGCTGGAGGCCGTGGAGGAGGCGGTGGTGGTCGTGGAGGTGGTGATGGTGGCCGTGGCCGTGGTGGTTCTGATTTGAAGTGCTATGAGTGTGGCGAGTCTGGTCACTTTGCACGTGAGTGCCGCTCTCGTGGTGGCTCGGGAAGGCGTCGTAGTCCTTCTCCACGTGGTCGCAGCCGTAGTCGCAGTCCAAGATACAGAAAGAGCCCAACCTATGGAGGACGCAGGTTATTGTAACACTCTCTCGCTGATGGACGATTTGTTAATTAGAATCAATCGTTTTAGCTCAGTGAAGTAATCAACTAACTTGTCTTTTGGTTTCAGGAGTTACAGCCCTCGTGCAAGATCTCCTCCTCCTCCAAGGCGTCGCAGTCCTTCTCCTCGTGGCCGCAACTACAGTAGGTCACCACCACCTTACAGAGGACGTGAGGAGGTGCCATATGCTAATGGGTAAACACCCTTTTACTCAAGTCCTTTTACTCAATAGGGTTTATGCTATCTGTAACAAAAGATAGTGGCATTATCTTCACATGCATATTATATAGACCTTTTTGATAGGTGTTGTGGCTGATGAGTCTTTGTATATGTTTATGCAGGAATGGTCTGAAAGATGTGCGCAGAAGCCGTAGCTGAGTGTGATGGGAGCAGGATGCGACTGTCTGCTTGTGAAGTCAAGAGGACAGCTTATGGGGAAATTAGTATCTGTGAAAATTCACTAAGAGAACATGTTTTAGCTTTTACGGGATGCTTCTTTATTGCGTTTGGATATGAAGACGTAGTGTTATCTGCATTTAGGTAAAGTACTTTTTTTTTCCTTCTCAAATTCGTACCCAAGTTCTTATGAGATCTAAAACAGAAATTCTACTACTAAAAACCTATGCATTTTCTTTGTTTTTTCCTTGTGTTTTTTTTTTGTTTTATTTTGTCGAGGTTTCTTCGGGTTTCTACTACTGCCTCATTGCTTATCTCTGCTTCTCTACTCTGCCCTGAGTCTTCTTCGTTAAATTTGGTTGACCTGCAATGGCATCTTCATAATACTTGCCTCTGCTTCTGCTTCTGCTTCTGCTTGCTCTAATGTTTGAACACTCCTCTGGCTTCTGCTTGCTTTTATGTTTGAAAACTCCACTGGCTTCTGCTTGCTCTTCCTCAAACCTCTTCTGCTTCTGCTTGTCTTCTACAAAACTTCTGTGGCGTTTCTTTTCTTGAACCTTAAGAGTGGCTGAGGGGCTGCACTTCGTTACACTAGCAGGTACTTATTATACCTTTCAGGTGTTTTGAGTTCTGACGATTCACAGAATGTGTTCCCTTAATGACACTGGCTCTCATCTATAAACACGTTTTGTTCATGTCTGCTAGTAAAAGATGACCTGCTTCTGCAATATAATCACCGTTTTGGCTTCATGTTTGGTTCGTGGATGATCATCGTCTCTTCGCATCTTGTCTTATAACTTCATTCTTTCGCCCAAATCCACGTGTTGCTCTGCTTTTGCCAAAAGCAGCACACTTCGATTGTAGAAGAACAACAAACCAAAGTCGACACGATCTCTGCTTTTGCCTATGTATTTTAAGCTTGTCACAACTTTTTGGCCTCGTAATGAGATTTGTTTAAATAAACTATGTTGCGTATGTTTCAAATGCGTCATTTTTGTTGGTACACACAAATGCAGTAAGGAACGTAACTACAAACATAAGAACACACATAGTGCCATTTTTGGACCAAATATCAGCCCAACATTCGGAATTGAGACCATGGTAGTCAAAAATTCATCGAGTCTATCAGAGTTCATAAATAGTGAGATTCTTCCTTTTATCGTCGTATTAGTAAAAATAATATCAAATCTGTTTGGTACTTTGTATAATTTATGCTCTGATTCGTTTCTCACTGCCTTAACAAGAAGAAGAAATATGGACTTCAAGAGAGACAATACTGTCAGGTTCTAGATTCTCATCAAAAACAACCTTTTTATTAAGAAAAAGACGAAAGATTAGGATTTAGACATGTGTTCTTCGTTTTCATCAAAACCAAGAAACACTTGAAGTACAAGGAACTTGTATGTGATCCACTGATCCTCTTTCTCCAGGATCAGCATTTAAAGATCCCAGCTGGGACTGTAATGATTTCGGTATTCTAAAACAGCTAGAGGATTATTATCCTCAGAAACATACTGTGTCTTAAGTCGAGCCTTGTGTTTTTTCCCAAGCTTATGAGTCTCCATCACCTTCTCAGAACACGTCGAAATATTACAAATTTTGCACCGAATGATCATCCTCTCTGTCTTCTTCCCCGTTTCTTTAAACCCAATTTCATCCAGTGTGATGATGGAGGTTGAAGCAGCCGTCTGATCATTCTGTAATTGAATGGTAGTCTTATGCCTTTTTCCAAACTCATGCCTCTTCATGACTTCTCGACAAATAGCCCCAACACTACAAACTTTGCAACAAAACTTAAACATACTTTTTGGCTTGCTTTCTTCTGTTCCAACTTGCTTTCCACTGCCATGTTCCTCCGAACAAGGAACCGGAACCAGACTTGGAACATACACATTGCAAGGGTTCTCGTACAGTCTATGTCTTCCTCTCACTTCATCTTGTTTTTTTATCACACCCTCACAAATTTCGTAAACATTGGTGTAAATATACTTCTCCTCGAAATCTTCTTCCTCGCACAATAACATGATCTTATCGGTCTTGTGGGTGAAGTATGTCGGACTAATTCTGCGACTGGAAGTTGAGTGTAATACTAAGGGATCATGAGTTACATTGATATACTTGCTCCACGAGACAACCCCATCGGCCAGCTTGCTTGTAATCCACACTTCTATCTTCCCATTTGTATGATGATGTAATAGAGAAAGCCTATCTCCTCCGAAACCTGACAAGAGTACTGTGTCATAAGAACTATGAAAATGATCAGCTCCCTCTGGAACACAACATATGGGCTTGAACGTTTCTGTCGAAAAATCAAAACATTGGATGAATGATTCGATTTCATAGTTTTTTTTTCTTTTTTGGGAAAATATTCGGTTTCAGAGTTAACCATCTTCTTTCAAGCAAGCCAGTACATGTTTCCATTCATAGACACAGGATCCCACATATGTTCGCATTCGAGAGTAGCATCAACACTTCTCCAGCGTTTAGACTTAAACTCATATATCTCAATCTCTGATGGTAATCTGAATCGATTGATCCTCAAGATCTTGTAGTTGTCACGGGATACATTGTCGTATCCAAAACCGTAGATATCACATATTTCGTAAGAATTCGAGGGTTCGATCCATGTGACTCGGCTCGAAATCGGATTCCAAACTGCGAGCTTTTTAATTGATTCACGATTCTTACAACTAGATATCAATAATCCGTCGCAGTGAATCGCTTCTCTAAAAGTATGATTGTGTAACTCGCCTGGGATTGGTAGACGCAATATAGGATTGGTCTCAGGATTGAAGATTTGAAGCGACTGATGACCAACATCAACTCGTATGAATCTTTCCTGGGAGAGATCCAAGTGTTTGTAGATGAATTTCTTGTCGCTGAAGAAAGCGTACCATTCTTTGCTTGTCGTTTTGAATCGTACCAACAATTCGATGGGAACCCTGACAAATATCTCTTCTACCAACTCCAAAGGCAGCGACGACAAGGAGGAAGTCATGGAAGAAATTTTAGAAAACTAGGTCACCAAGAGCACACACAAGATTTCTTTATATACTGTACCCTAATCGATTATTAAAAAGGAAAAGACTAAATTCCTTTTTATATATAGGTCACCAAGAGATAGCAGTAATAAAAATTACACAATTCTATATATATTACAAATAAGAATACTTGAACTTTTATAGCCTTTACAAATAACTAGGTGTTTCTCTGCACAAGTGCGGAGTTGATTAAATTTTTTAAAAAGTATAATATTAATTTATTTATAGATTAAAAAATCAGATTTTATAATGATTCGAAACCAAACTTAATATATTTGAAAAAATACAATTTTTATGAATATATTATTTTTTTTAACAAAGCAAAATATTTTATTTATATTTTATTTTTTATTATCTTTTATATTTATTCGATAAAAACTTATAAATATGTTTTGTTGTTTTGTTGCATTTACCAAACATGATAAATAATTCTTTTGTTTTAATGTAAATTGATAGATTATAATTAATGAAATTCAAAGTTTGCATTAAAAAAAAACATAGCAATCCAAAATGATCAAAACCAAATGAACCTTATTTCATATCAACTTAATATTAATTAATATATATAGAGTTTTAAAAGAGTTTAAATGATTTAGAATTTTACTTATTATCGCATAAATCAATTATGTTAGTCAAAATATTAGTAGGTTAAACGATCAAATTAAAATTAGTTTAATGAGATAATTATGATTTTTAATATATATTTTAGTTACCTTTTTTTTAGTAAACTATATATTTTATGATATAAACTTGAATTTGGAAATCTAGATTTTTAAAAAACCAAAATCAATTAAAAATTAGATTATATTAATTTGTTATTTTTATTAAGGGTAATTAAAATAAATTCACATAAGGGGCAAAAGGTAATCAACCATCATAACTCTCAACCATAACCCAACTTGCTTCTCAATTATTAATATGATCTTTACAATAAATTATATTTAAATTAAACTATATACAGTTAAACAAAAAGAAAAAATAAGCGAAATCAAATAAAGGTTTTCTTGCCACCAATTTCTCTTTAAACTTGAATGAGAATTCTTTGATTTTGTGAAATGATGAAGACCAGATTCTAATAATAAATCTACATAACGAAGATATTTGATTTAGTATTTTTCCATATTGTATCATTGTCTCTTTCTTCAAATGATTACTTTTTTTTTCTTATAAACTTTTTATGAAAAACAAGAAAACTTTGTTTGTATTTTTTTTAAATTAAAAATAAATAAATAAAAAACTAGAAATTAATGGTAACCATATTTCGCTTTTTTAACAATGAAAACAAACTTTGAATTTTTTTCAAAGGGAAAATAAAGAAAACAATTTATGGTTTTTTTATAAAAACCATGAATCAAAGAACAAAACATAAAAATATTTTTTTATCTTTTTTTTAAAGTATATCAGAATTAAAGAATAAAAACAAGCAATTCTTTTTTTTTCAATGGAAATTTTGATAAAATATGAAACAAAAACAAAACAGAAATGAAAAAGATAGAAGATAAGAGCTAAAAGCTTTTAGCTCTGATAACAGATGATAAAGATCAAAGGGGTATGATTTTATAATGTTTGGATGAATGAATGGAAGCAAGCAGCTGGACTGAATTATTACCAACCTTTTTGGATGATTGCAATATTCAAACTATTTTGCCAATTGCTAGTGAAAGATCAAATCGTCTTTTAAGTGAGACTCGGAATTGAGACCATGTGAGTCAAAAATTCATTTGAGTCTATCACAAATAGTGAGATTATCCTTAACATTAAAACCAAAAAAAAAAAAAAATAGTGAACTTCTTCCTTTTATCATCGTCGTATTAGTAAGATAAATAATATCACATCTGTTTGGTATTTAATAATTCATGCTCTTATTCGTTTCTCATTATCTTAAAAAGAAGAAGAAGATGCAAGATACTGTTCTTGCTTCTGGCAATTTGAGCTTCACCACAAACACAAATACGGTGTTCAAGAGAGACAATACTGTCAGGTTCTAGATTCTCATCAAAAGCAACGTTTTTTATTAAGAAAAAGACAAAGATTTGGATTTAAACAAATGTATTCTTCATTTTCATCAAAAACAACTTTTTTATTAAGAAAAAAAAAACACTTGAAGTACAAGGAACTTGTATGTCTAGTCCAAGCAATGAACCTTACAACTTCTATTAATTTAAAGATCTCTTTAGGACTGTAATGATATCAATATATAGAATAGCTAATTAAGGGCTGATTAACCTGAGAAACATACTGTTTCTTAAGCTGAGCTTATGAGTCTCCATCACCTTCTCAGAACACGTCGAAATATTACAACTTTCGCACCGAATGATCACCCTCTATGTCTTCTTTCCGGTTTCTTTAGACGCAATTTCATCCACTGTGATGATGAAGGTTGAAGCAGCCGTCTGATCATTCTGTATTTCAATGGTAGCCTTATGCCTTTTTCCTAACTCATGTCCCCTCATGACTTTGCTACAAAATGCCCCAACACAACAAACTTTGCACCAAAACTTAAACATACTTTCTGGCTTGCTTTCTTCTGTTCCAACTTGCTCCTTACTGCCAAGTTCCCCCGAACAAGGAACCGGAACCAGACTTGGAACATACACATTGCAAGGCTTCTCGTACCGTCTATGTCTTCCTCTCACTTCATCTTGTTTTTTGATCACACCCTCACAAATTTCGTAAACAGCGGTGTAAGTATAGTTCTCCTCGAAATCTACTTCCTCACACAATAACATGATCTTATTGGTCTCGTGGATGAAGTATGTCGGACTAATTCTGCGATGGGAAAAGGAGTGTAATACTGAGAGATCATGAGTTACATTAAGATACTTGCTCCACGAGACAACCCCCTCGACCAGCTTGCTTGTAACCCACACTTCTATCTTCCCATTTGTATGACGATGTAATAGAGAACGCCTATCTCCTCTGAAACCTGACAAGAGTATTGTGTCATAAAAACTATACAAATAATCAGTTCCCTTTGGAACACGACATAGGGCTTGAACGTTTCTGTCGAAAAATCAAAACATTGAATGAATGATTTGATTTGATAGTTTTTTTTTTCTTTTTTTGAAAAAATATTCGGTTTCAGAGTTAACCATCTTCTTTCGAGCAAGCCAGTACATGTTTCCATTCATAGACACATAATCCCACATTTGATTGCATTTCATATATCTCAATCTCTGATGATAATCTACCTTGATTGATCCTCAAGATCTTGTAGTTCTCACGGGATACATTGTCGTATCCAAAATCGTAGATATCAGAATTTTCGTAAGAATTCGAGGGTTGACTTGGCTCGAAATCGGATTCCAAACTGCGAGATTTTTAATTGCATTACGATACCTACCTCTCTCTCAAATATTCCATGTGAACAGGGTGAGCACCGGACTGTAGTCCAGTTTTCGATCAAATATTCTTATAGAATTATAGAAATTTTAAGAAGATAAATTTTTTTTTTTTTCATCAAGAAGATAAATTCTTTTGACGGCTGTCTTGTCCTTTTTATCCTATGCTCCTTTCACGTTTTCTTTCTCTTTCTCTCCCTCAACATCTCTCTACTCTACTGTTCTACACATTTTTTTTGGCTATTCTGAGTAGACAGATTTTTATTTTTCTTAATCAATATAAAATAAGTTTCATATACAAGTGTGTTCATTCTAAAATAATGATGTATTGTTGTATATAATACTCCTAATTATGTGATGCAGTATATAAAAACTTTATCTAAAACAACGAAGATGCATATGATATTGCCGTTGCCACCAAAAATAGTTGTAGATTTAACATGTCGCATTAAATAGTTTGGTGGAGCTTTTTAGATAGTTACAAACCGAGCTTTTTAGATAGTTACAAACCAAGAAAGAGTGAAAGACGATAGTCTAAATATCGTTATAGTAAAAGTTGGTCCATACCGAGCGAACTTTTTTAGATAGTTACAAACGAAAACTGGATTCCAAACAGCGAGCTTTTTAATTGACAACGACTTTCATCGATCCATGTTACTCGAAATCGGATTCCAAACTGCGAGCTTTTTAATTGATTTACGATTCTTGCAACTAAACTGCGGCAGTGAATCGCTTTTCTAAAAGTATAATTGTGTAACTCGCCTGGGATTGGTAGACGCAATATAGGATTGGTCTCAGGATTCAAGATTTGAAGCGACTGATGACCAACATCAACTCGTATGAATCTTTCCTGGGAGAGATCCAAGTGTTTGTAGATGAATTTCTTGTCGTTGAAGAAAGCGTATCATTCTTTGCTTGTCGTTTTGAATCGTACCAAGGATTCGATCGGAACCCTAGAAAATATATATTCTACTAACTCCAAAGGCAGCGAAGACAAGGTGGAAGTCATGGAAGATTTTTTTTAAAAAAATTAGGTCACCAAGAGAACGCAATAAAAAGTTCCTTTTTATATCCTAATCGATTACTTGAAATAGTCAAATTTAAGTTAAACCTCCTTTTATACCCTACTCGATTACTTGAAAGAAAAGTCAAATTTTAATTAAAACAAAAACTTCCTTTCAAGCGTGACTTGAAAGAAATAATTTTTGTGTTAGAAAGGAAATGAAAGAAATAACTTTTGTGTTAGAAGGGAAATGCGCACATTTCCTAAAACGTTTTTTCTAGCAATAACTCAAGCCCAATATTAGGAAGAATACGCCGACGTAGTTTCGAAAAGGAAAACTTCGAAGATAATCTTGAAGGTCTCAAAAAGACGGATCGGCTTTAAAGAATATTCAAGGATAAAGGAGAATTTCCATATTTTTCGAGAAACAAGTGATATTTTTATATCGTAAATATGGAAATATTCACCAAAGGAAAAAAAGAAAAGGAGTTCGGAGCAACCGCCCTCCTATTCCTCTAAATAAGAAGACCCTGGAGCACAAGAAGACCAACTCCAACGCTTTCTAGTTTACTTGGCAAACACTTTCTTTTCACTTTCTTTTCACTTCGGCATAACCTTTCGGTTAAACCAT